ATTAGAAATTTATTTCTAAATCTTTTAATTATTATATTCAGGGAGGGAAGGAAGGAGGGAAGGAGGGAAGGAAGGAAGGAAGGAAGGAGGGAAGGAAGGAAGGAAGGAAGGAAGGAAGGAAGGAAGGAAGGAAGGAAGGAAGGAAGGACTTCACCCACTGGATTTTGGATGTGGCTCAGGGTATCGGGTGGAGACCAGTTCCCAGTGCCCTTGGACACACGTAGTTTTACTTTTGCCTCTTCCCTGTGCTGCTTTCAGCCCCACACCCCTTTTCCTCCTTCTCAACACCCGGGCATTCTCAGTGCATTCAGCTCCCTTCTGCCTGCCTGGGGCTGGGGAAAAGGACCAACCAGAGCCCACCTGGGGCTGCCAGCTGGCAGGAGATGGCACAGAAGGATGATGGAATGTTCCCTGTGGCTGGGATGAGAGTGAGTGGTGAAGAAACTGCCCCAGGTGGCAGAATCCCTCCAGACACCATGGCAGACAGATAAAGGCCCTTGCGCTGGGTGAATAACCTCATCCCATGGCTCAGGCTGGAGCAATTTCCTCTGGACTGCCACAGGCTTCAATGCTCTTCATCTATGTCATAAAAATCGGATGTGAAGAGCAATTCTTACCCTCAGCATCTCAAGTAATCTCCTGAGGGATTCATTTCCAGTGGACCCCGGTGGGCCAGCCCAGGAACGCCGGGTGCTGGGCAGGCAGGGGCAGAGGGGCTGCTGGAAGACTGAAGCGGATGGATATGGATGGAAGTGGATTCCAGGCAGGGGATTTTAGGTGAGGGAGTCCAGCCTGCAGCAAACCCTGGCCTGGAGTGATGGCCATGCCTGCGGCGGCAGCAAGGGGTGGAGACACCCAGGGGCAAAATCCCGGTGGGCAAATCCCAGCATCGGTGCCGGCTACGTGGGAGTGTATCTGGTGGCTTGTCCAAGCAGGAACGGGCTGGCCAAGAGCTGAGTCATCCCTCCAGCACGGAGGAGATCCCCCAGGGCCCCTCGTTTGCTGTTAAAAGGCAGTAGCAAGAGCAAGAGGCTGCGAAATGGCTCCGCCGAGAGCTCGGCTTCTTAGGCAGCCCCGGCCTCGGAGGGAGCGGGGATGCTCCGCTCGGAGCACGAAAGCCGCAGACATCTGGAGCCTGTGCCTTGTTTCTCAACGGCTCCTTGGCCGCGTTTCTCCTCCGTTTCGGAGATGAAGGCGGCGAGGGTGACCCGGCGGAGCGGGAGCTCGGTGCTGGCCGCTGTCCAGGCAGCCCGGCCGGAGGAAGCAGCGGCCCCGCTCTGCGCTCTGCGCTCTGTGCCGCCGCCAAAGCAAATAGGAACGGGGCCTTGAACAATGCTGGCTGCCAACCGGGGCGGCCCGGCCGCCGGCGTCGCCGCTGCCGACGGGCTCCTGGTCTCCGGGAGAGTTTCCACTGGCATCTCTGCCCCTTGCCCAGGCACATCCCTCCTGCCGGGCAGCCTGAAGACTTCATCCAGGGCATCCCGCACACCTCGGCCGTGTGCGAGGACTTGCGGGGTGCTTGGGGAGGCAGGAGGGATGAAGGGCGAGGAAGAGGAGTCGCCCAGCTTCCAGCAGCCCTCCTGCTTGCCGTGGGCTTGCTGGAAGGATTTGGCTTAGTCATCCATCCCTTTCCCTCGCTGGTAGGCTGAGCCACTGCTGAAAATATCCTGGAAGACTCCCAAGCAGCACAGAAGGCAAGAAAATGAGGAACACATGAAGGAAGGGAAGACGGGAAGGGATGGGATGGGAAGGAAAGAGGAGCAGGGCTGGGAGCGGGCGGTCTTGGCCACCCACCTCCCTGCTGGGGCCAGAGCAGAGCCAGCCACCAGAGCCATCCTGGCAGTGCCTTTGGAGAGGGGCTGCGCCCTTGCTGGGTGCGGGGGTGATGCTGATGGTCGGCGCTGGTGTCTGTGCCCAAGAGTGGCCTCGGCAGGGTGGGGGACACTGCCCTTCCCACGGGTGCTTTCGGGGGGGCAAGCTCATAGGAAATTGCTCACTCTGAGAAAATGCTTTCCCGGCAGCTCCACATCCTTTCGATCTCAGGGAAGGGCTGGTGCCCTGACCTTTGTCCGGCACAGGAGAAGCCCAGAGGCACCGGGCTGCTCGCCGCAGGACCCGCGCCAGGCTTTTAGCACTTTGCTTTTAGCACTTGAGTCCCGAGGCGTGAGGGTGGCTGTGTCCAGCTGGGCAGCAGCTGCACAGCTTCTGTCGGCTGCTGCCATCTCGTGTTGCTCCATACCTGAGCCCCCGCCAGGGCTGCCCACCGGCCTTGCTGTGAGATCGGGGTGGATTGTCATCTTCCCGCTGTGCCCGGGTTATGTCGGGGCTGAACGTGCCGGGATTCGGGGTGCGGGGCTGGGGGACACACGCTGGCCCCTCCACTGCCTCTTTGAGCCGGGGGCCGAAGCCATGTGAGCTGCAGCCGGAGATCTGCGAGGAGAAATTCCTTTCCCGTGTGGTCAGCGCAGCGGGTGCGCAGAACCCAGCTGAAATACGGGCTGGGATGGTGGAAACGTCCTGAGTGTCACTAGGTGTCCCCTGGGCTTTTCCCTGTGTCCCGACATCTTCGTGACGGCCGTGCTGGGTCCCCGGTGCCCCTGAACCGTGTACCCCAGCCCCGGTGCATCTCTCCCGCCTTTCCCCGCCTGCCAGGGAAAGAGCTGGGATGCCGGGGGATACCTGGAGGAAGGGCTGCCAATCCTGGGCAGGGAGGACTGACACCCCACATTCCCACTGAAGCCCTAATCCCCCTCTCTCCTCTTCCCAGGTCTCTCCCGCAGCGCCAGCCTCTCGGAGAAGGAGCTGAAGGAGGCGAAGGCGCGGAGCCAGAGGATCGCAGCTCAGCTCACCACGGCTCCTGGCCCCAGCTCCAAGGGTGTCCTGCTGTTCCACCGGCGCAGGCAGCGCGTTGAGGGGCTCTCGGGGGCCGGGCATGGCGGGGGGCTGCCGCTGAGCCCCGCTGCCCAGCCTTGCCAAGGGGCCATGGAGCAGAGCCAGGGGCAGAGGATGAAGCCGGAGCCTGCCCAGCCTGGCAATCCAGGAGAAGGGATGCTGGCAAACGCCTCCCCGTGCCAGGAGCTTCCTGCTGAAGCCCAGCAGGTCCCACTCAGCGTTTACCTGAAGGAGAACATGGCATCGGCCACCACCAACGGCGTGCAGGAGCGCTCGGCCAGCGGGATGGAGAGAGAGGTGGAGGGGCTCGGAAATGCAGGAGCCCCTGCGGGGCCGAACACGGCGGCACTGGTGGTGGCACAGAGCCCCGGGGAGGGAAAGAACGTCAGCGTGCCCAGTGAGGTGCCCGGTGAGGTGCCTAGCGAGGTGCCCAGCGCTCCAGCAGGGACAGCCACAGCCAGGGCATCGCCAGCCGGGCAGCAGCAGAACGGGGCGCAGGGCCGGCAGTACTATGAGGTCCATCTCACCCTGGCCAAGCCCAAGCCTGTGAAGAACCGGACGGCCAGACCCTTCGGCACTCAGGCATCCCCCGCCAGTGCCCAGCCGGCCGAGGAGCCCCCTGCCCCCGAGCTGCCCCCACCTCCAACCTACGCAGAGACCCTCAGCAGCCCCCCACCCCTCACTCGTGTTCGCTCCCCCCCTGCCTATTCGGCCCTGTACCCCACCCAGGAGCAGAAGATGCTGCCAGATCCCCTTCTGGGCTGCGGGGTGAGTGGACCAAACCCCTTGCCCAAAACAGGGATCCTGGAGGAGTCGGCTGCCCGCAGAGCCAGCAGAAAGTCCATGTTCACCTTCGTGGAGAAGCCGAAGCTGGGCCCCAACCCCGACCTGCTGGACCTGGTTCAGAGTGCAGACAGCAGGAAGAAGCAGAAGGAGCAGAGGGAGCCCAGTGCCGAGGATGAGCCCTTTGCCCTGGGGGCTGAAGCTGCGAACTTTGTCCCCAACAGTGCAGCCAGGGGTGTGCAGCACCTCACACCAGCTGAGGATGCTCCAGCATGGTCCTCCTGCCTCAAGTCTCCCACCATCCAGCCCAAGAAGAAGCCACAGCCCAGCCACATCCTCACTGAAGCGAGAGGGAAGGGAGCTGAGCTCTTTGCCCGCCGACAATCCAGGATGGAGAAGTTCATCATTGAGGCCCCCTCCCAGCCTGAGCTGCTGCGGTCCCCATCGCCCACCATGTCCCTGCCTCCCTCCTGGAAGTATGACAACAATGCTTACCTGTCACCCATGGTCTCCAGACGCCCCTCCAAGAGTCCCTGCAGGCCCTCCAAAACCCCTCCTGCATCGCTGTATGGCAGCAACCTAATGGAGAACGAGGTGTCCCAGAAGGAGCTGGAGATCTCCAAGCACCAGCCTTACCAGCTCCAGTCTTCTCTCTTCATCCTCTCCCCATCCAAGAGGCCAACAAGGTCCATGCCCCAGGAGGTGCCTCCACCCAGACCCTCTCTCCCCGACTCCTACCCCTATCCCCAGCAAGCCTCCTGCCCGACCTCTCCGTTGCCTCCTTCCCCGGTTTGGCATCCCACCGTGGTGCCCAGCGCCGGCCAGACCACTGCCAGCCCCTTCCCCAGTGCTGCCGGGGCTCTGCCCCTGACTCCCGACAGCCGTGCCGGTCCTGGAGCCCCGGCTGAGGTGCTGCTGGCCTCCCCGTGCCGCCTGCTGCCGCCCCGGGCAAAGGCAGGCTTCCAGGCACCCCGGCCCTCCTACTCCACCAGGAATGCCGGCATCGAGCCGCAGGTGTGGAAACCTTCTTTTTACTACAAGTAATGGTGGCAGAGAGAAAAACACAGGGGTGCTAGGCTGAGTCCTCCCTAACTGCTCATGGGAGTGCCAAAAGCCAAACCAACCACAAAAAAAAGGAGGGGGGAAAGAAAAGAAAATAGAAAAAAGAAGTGGTTGTGAGGCTGCGGTGCTGGGACAGCGGGTGACAGGCGCTGCTGAGCCCCCGGTGCAACAGGAGCTGAGGAGTCCCGGGGAGGCAGCAGGAACTGGGCACAGAGCCTGCAGGATTCCCAAAGAGTCAGTAGGAGGCTGCCAGTCCCACAAGGCTGATCTTGCTCTTCTCTCACCTGGAAACTGTATGGAGCATCACACCTCTGGCTCCCTCCTTTCCTCACCTCCAGCTTTTCCAGCTCTCAGAGCTCTGTCTGCTCCTCCACATCCCCTCTGTCCTGTGGCTCTTCTCAGCCTCCTACCAAAGCAAACCTGGAGGGGACACGCTGCCTTTCTGCCTCACTGTGCCTGCTCCTGGCTCTTCTGTTGCTCCTTCAGGATCTGTCCTCGTTTGCTTCCTCACTGTGGAGGAAGAACTGCATCCCTCGGGGAATGGCAGAGTCCAGTGCTGCTGGGCCCGGGGACACCGCGGGGTCTCTGTCCCTGCTGGGGTGGGCACTGCTGGAAGCAAGGGATGTGCTGGGATGAGGAGGGTGCCAGGGCTGCTGGGTGATGTCCAGCCCAAGGCATCATCCAGCTGTGCCTCTGCCCATGCCCTCTCACCACTTTCCCCATGGTGCCAAGTTGCCTTTTGACTGTGCTTTATTTCTCCTGCATTTTTCTTTTTCCCCCTCTTTCTGAATACACTCTCTGCGCTGTCACACGTGGCTCTTCTCTTTCCTGTGGTCTGGGGAGCAGTGCTGGCTGAGGGGTCCTGGGGCAGTGCGACGGGGGCTCCGAGCAGCCCCCAGAGGGAGACTTTAGGAAGCTGCAGGTTGTCAGAGGTCCTGGGACATATTCTGGGCAAGGATGATGACCGGCAGGCTCAGCTTGCCCCGATCTCCTTGGTGGGCTTGGGCGTGCAGGGTCAAACACGTTTTGGGGACCCCTTGCAGGGGTGCAATGCACGAGGAGACATCCCCGGCTCCTGTGGGGCTGTGCCAGCATGAATCTTACCTTGGCACCCTCCTGTACCCCCTGCTCTGTCCCTTCGTCCCCCCGAGTGGGGGTCACTGACCCGCTCTCTGTCCCTCTCCAGGACAGGCGCTCGTCCCTCCCTGCATCGCCCACCTGGA